GCAGAATCCGGGGAGCGGGGTGAGGAGACACCTGGCCGCGCAGAATCTGGGGAGTGGGGTGAGGAGATACCCGACCGCGCAGAATCCAGGGAGCGGGGTGCGCAGACACCCGGCTGCGCAGAATCTGGGGAGCGGGCCGCACAAATACCCAGTTGAGCAGAATCCGGAGAGCAGCTCCTCGGGTCAGCAGCACTGGTGTCTCTTTCTCAGTCTGTCGTTCTTCATGGAAACAACAGTATGGCTGTCAGGGTCAGTCCTAAGTCAGAGAAGCACGGCAGGTGTTGGAGAGAATCGCCATGAGCAGGCGGAAGGGGTGTCACCCGCCGAGGGGCAAGTCCGAGCGGTTTCAGCCTTGGCAGTTTTTTCTTGAATGCAACAGCCTGGGGTTTGGATGCCAGCCCCATTCCTCCTGACGCCCCGCTCCCCACCAGGCTGGCTTCCTGCCGGGCGAGCTGGCCCTCAACAGCCCTGGGCCCCTGTCCCCATCCGGCATGAAGGGGACCTCCCAGTACTACCCCTCCTACTCCAGCAGCTCCCGGCGCAGAGCGGCGGACGGTGGCCTGGGTGAGCAAGGTCTGCCAGGGGCAGCGGGGCATCCGAGAGGGAGCCTGCAGAGGGAGGCGGGTGGTCGCCTGTTAGCTGAGGGCATGGGAGGCGACGGACCGTGTACCTTCCAGGTCCTGGCTGGACACCGGGCACTTGGGCGCTTGGGCTTTGGGAGGGATGGATGGTGATGGGGTTGCCCAGTGTAGTCCGTGCTCGCCACTCCTGGTGGCCCCGGCCTGCAAGGCCGCCGCAGACTATTGCGGCCAAACCCACAATCCCTTTGCACCACCCTGATAGATCGTTGTCGTGAGAAGCCAGGGAGAGGGTCCTGCCAGCCTCTGGTCATGAGATTCCTGCAGCTGATGGGTGTAGGCTCCGTGCACGTGGTTTCTGTTTAAGACGCCTCCCAGCTCGGGAGCGCTGGACAGCACCTCAGAACTAGCCGGGCCCGTCCCAGGCATGGTGGCGCACACCCGAGGTCCCAGCTACTTGGGAGGCCGAGGCATGAGGATGGCTTGGCCCTGGGAGTTTGAGGCTGCAGTGAGCTACAGTCACACCACTGCGCTCCAGCCTGAGCAGTAGAGTGAGACCCACTTAGTGAAATCACCAGTAAAAAGCACAAAAATATAACAGGTGGTGGCTATGAATAGACCAGGGACAGGAGCCCCCACCATGATGTCTCAGGAGGCCCTGCTCCGTCTCAGCTGGGCCGTGCACCTCGGCGGCTCAGATTCCACTCACGTCCCTGAGTGATCAGGGAGGCGCCCGCGCGCTGATTTCCGGGTTACAGATTTTATCCAGTAAGCGAGTTTGCAGACAGCGGCCGTGAGTGGTGAGGAGTGATTGCATATGATCCCGGAAGCAGGGGCGGCCCAGGGCTTCTCAGCAGAGCCCCGCTCAGGATCCATCAGCTCCTCGTTTTCCACACTCCGCATCACAGGAGAAAACCCTTGTGGTTCCTTTTCGTCTCGGGACACACGTAGATAGACCCCAGGTTTCTGATTTATGAAACGGGAACTGCGAGGGTCTCCCGTCCAGCGTAGGACAGGCGCTGTTATCATGGCCATGGCCGCTTCTTACCCCTTTTGCTCCGTACAGACACACAGCCCAAGAAGGTCCGGAAGGTCCCGCCGGGTCTTCCATCCTCGGTAAGTTGCACGAGGGAGAAGGGACCCCACAGCTCCTCAGTGCCAGTGCCAGTCCATGTCCCGGGGAAGCTTGGGAACACACATGGGGCGGTAGGCGCTAGGTGGGCAGTACCTCCGAGGTTTCTGAACCAAGATCTGCCCTGAGGCCCTGGCTCCGACTGGAGGCCGCCTGAGGGAAGGCAGGGAAGTTCTTCCCTAGGTCCAGCCTCCGTCTCTCTTGCTTTGAGAGAAAGGTGGTTCTGGTGGCTGAGGGCACGAGTGGGGCTCCCCATTCCGTCCTTGCGGGGTCAGGCTGCCCTGCGTCCCTGCGTGCCTGCCTGGGGCCAGCGGGGTGCCAAGCCCTCCAGGTGGTCCAGGCTGTGTGCCACACTCCTGCGATCTCATCTCGGTGGAGGGAGAGGACTTGGCCGATTCCCCAGCTCTGTAGCCACCGACCACCCTCTGCCCAGTGCCCACGCTGGCCCCAAGAGACCTGGACATAACATCTCCTTGCCCATTGGGCCGGCCAACTCCTCACAGGCCCGGGTTCAGGGTTAGAGTCTTATTGACCTCAGGCCAAAGGCATGGTCAAGCTCTGCTCCCAACGTTCCTGCTCCCCTCCTTCTCCAGGGCCACTTTTTCTCACTGGACCCGCCCCCCAGTTTCTTACACGATCAGGCCCACCCAGCACACGCTCCGCTTCAGCACAGGGGCAGACCTTATCAGCTGGCCCCAGCCCCACAGTCCGGGCAGTGCCAGCCAGTCAGAGTTGGCACTAATCACAGGCCCCTCTTCCTTTTGATTCAGCCAGGGACCAGTGTTGCTCTGGGGCCAAGGGAATCGCGGCACTGGGGGATTGATTCCAGCTGGGGAACAAAGGAGAAGGATGGGATGGGGGTGTTGGAGCTGGGGTTTTGATGGATCAATAGGAGTTTTCAGGATTAAGTGGGAAAAAGGCTTTGTAGACAGAGCCAGATCAAGGCCTCAGGTACAATGGTCAGTAGTTCAGGAAGGCGGGAGGTGGCGGCTGGTAAAGGAGCAGGAGAGAGGCCATCAGAACCTGAATCTGGGCCAAGGAGCTGGGGTTTATCCAAAGCAGGGGTGGCTTTACAGGCAGGGGATACGGGGCGTGGTAGACGCGCTACTGGGAGAGGGACAGGAGGCGGGGCTTGGGGAGGGCCCCTCCTTCCTGACCATGCACCCCCGCCCGCCCTCCTGCAGGTGTACCCACCCAGCTCAGGTGAGGACTACAGCAGGGACACCACCACCTATCCGTCCGCCAAGACCCCCAGCAGCGCCTATCCCGCCCCCTTCTACATGGCAGGTACACGGGGCTTGCCTGGAAAGGTGGGGGTGGGCTGGGATGCCCCACCTGGACCCGCCTTACCAGCCCTCCCCCCACCCAGATGGCAGCCTGCACCCCTCAGCCGAGCTCTGGAGTCCCCCGGGCCAGGCAGGCTTCGGGCCCATGCTGGGCGGGGGCTCATCCCCCCTGCCCCTCCCACCCGGCAACGGCCCTGTGGCCAGTGGTGGAGGCAGCAGCACGTTTGGTGGCCTGCACCAGCAGGAGCGCATGGTAGGACAGGGGCCGGGGGCCGGTGGGCGGGCGGGCGGTGGCAGTGCCCCATCTAACCCCCCGTCCTGCCTGATGCCCCCAGGGCTACCAGCTGCACGGGGCAGAGGTGAATGGCGGGCTCCCGGCTGCATCCACCTTCTCCGGAGCTGCGTATGGCGGCGTCTCCAGCCACACGCCGCCTGTCACTGGGGCCGACAGCCTCCTGGGTACGGCCCCTGCCCGGGTGCGGCCCCTCCGCGGGGACACTGAGCTGCAGGCAGGGCCTCGGTGGGCTCAGCGGGGGACCTGGCGGGGACTCCATAGTGGGCGCAGGCGCGGTTGCTGGCCGAGAGCTGGGTTGGCGTGAGTTCATGTCGTCCGCCATCTGCAGGGTGTGCTGCGTGCGTTGGGATGCGGATATCTGGAAACAGCTCTTTGAGGAGTGGGTACAGCTGGGGAAATGGAGGCTCAGAGGGGCCTCGCTCACCCAGGGTGCCTCGAGGCTCCCTGTCCCCAGAGCCCCTGTGGAGGCTGGTTTTGGGGGATCACGCTGCTCCCGCCACTGATGCGGCGTCCGTGTGGGATGATGGAGTGCAGGGAGCTTCCTATCAGCTGTAGCACCCGGGCTGGGCCACGTGGGGCGGAGGCCCCCCCGAGGCTGGGTCTCACCTCTCTCCACCCACAGGCTCCCGAGGGACCACAGCCGGCAGCTCTGGGGATGCCCTCGGGAAGGCACTGGCCTCGGTGAGGCATGGGACCTGGGGGGTGGCCAGGCGAGTGACCCGAGAGGCTGACCCCTGACCGCCCGTCTCTCCTGGTCCCACTCTCAGATCTACTCCCCGGATCACTCAAGCAATAACTTCTCATCCAGCCCCTCCACCCCCGTGGGCTCCCCGCAGGGCCTGGCAGGTCTGTAAGGGTTTTGGGGGGGCGCGGGCGGCTGCGTCTGGTGCCTGCGCCTTGCTGGGATGGGCAGCAGGTGGGAAGGGAGCAGCTCACCCTCGGGGGCCTGTGGCATCTCTGGTCAGGAACCAGACAGTGGAACAGAATTCACCGTGAGCTTGTCTTTCACTGGGCAATCTATGAAGGCTGCCTGGCGGAAGCAGTCTTCAAGCCAGCCCTCCAAGGCTGTGGCACCATAACCAGGCAGTGAGGGAGGGCTGGGAGGTGGCGTCCTGGTTAGGTCACAGAACAGGCAGAGCTGGGAGGCAGGACCTGGCGGTTCGTGCGTGAACACGAGGGGACGCAGGCTTGCCCAGCAGCTCCTGGATCCCGTAGGGCAGCAGTGCCGGGGCTGTGGACCGGGCTCTAGAATGTGGATGTGTTGCCATTTGCTCACCCACAGTGTATTTATTAGGTTCCAGCTGTTTACCTCGTGTGAGGCTCTGTCACGTGGGGGCAGACTCTCTATCCCTGTGAGGATGTGCCTGGCTACAGCAGGGGGGGGTTGGAAGGAGCCACAGGAGGAGGAGGAGGAGTGAGAGCTGGAGGTTTCCAGAAGGTCTGGGTGGTTAAGATACCCGTGAGTTTCCACTTCCACCCCATGGGAAGCGTCAGGGACCCTCACTTCACCTTGGCCTGTCTGGTTCCACCTGGAGCTAACGACCTCCCTGCCTGCTGCTGGAGCCCAGAGTGGGTCGGCCAGGGTGGGGAAGCATGGGTGGAGCCCCTGCCATGTGCCCCAAGCTGCTTTACCCCCGGTGTAGGGGTGGTTGCATTTTGTAGATGGGGAAACTGAGGCTCAGAGATTGGAACGGCAGTGCCCACTGGGCACCCAGCATCCCTGCCTGGCAGACAGCTTTTCTAGTCGATGTGGGGTGCCTTGGAGTGGCCATCGTGGGCAGGCAGAGGCTGGCCAGGCAGTTCATGAATCCCTCCCCGTGGGGGTCACGCTGCGCTCACACCGTGCTCCTTGCATGCCATTCACAAGCCCCACCCCCCCTTCCAGGGACGTCGCAGTGGCCCCGAGCAGGAGCCCCCGGTGCCTTATCGCCCAGCTACGACGGGGGTCTCCACGGCCTGGTGAGCGCCCGCCCCGCCCCACCCCACTTCACCCCACTCTTCTCCCACAGAATTTACAGGGCAGATGCTCCTTGAGAAGGAGAAACGTTTTTGTTAATTTCTCATGAGTAAGCTCTACGCTGTGACTGAGCCCTGTGGCTGCCAAAGCACATGCATTTTGAGCTGGTCAAAAACACAGCCTCCTGGGGACGGGGAAAACAGGACCGTCTGCCACTTGCATGCAAAAGGGGACGTGGACCGGGTCCTCTGGGGTCCCGTGGCCCCGGCCCCTCACCACCCACCCCCCTCCCGCCCCATAGCAGAGTAAGATAGAAGACCACCTGGACGAGGCCATCCATGTGCTCCGCAGCCACGCCGTGGGCACAGCTGGCGACGTGCACGCACTGCTACCTGGCCACGGGGCACTGGCCTCGGGCTTCGTCGGTCCCATGCCGCTGGGCAGCCGGCACGCAGGCCTGGTGAGCTCTGGGCGAGGGTGGGGCTGGGCGGCGGGCAGGGACCCCAGCTCCTGCTGACTGGCCCCTCTACCCACCCGGCAGGCCGGAGCCGGACACCCCGAGGACGGCCTTGCAGGCAGCGCCAGCCTCATGCACAACCACGCGACCCTCCCCAGCCAGCCAGGCGCCCTCCCCGAGCTCTCCCGGCCTCCTGACTCGTACAGTGGTAAGCCCTCAAGCTCAGCTCGTCTCACCGCTGGTTCCAGTTGAGAAAACTGAGGCACGCCAGTGGTGGGAGTCGGGGGAACCTGGGGCAGGTGTGGTCACCGTTGGGGTGCCTGGTGACATGGGTGCCCAGTCAGCACTTTCAGGAGGGCGGGCTCCGGGCTACCTCTTGATCGGCCTGCTCCCGTATGCCATGTGCCTGGCAGCGCGCAGCCCTGGGGGCAGGGCAGGGTGTGCAGCAGGATGCCCCTGCCTCAGGGAGACAGAGCCGGTGTTCACTGCACAGCGCAGGTGCTAGGGAGAATGAACCAAGCGGCTGGCGGGGTTGGGGGATTTTGTATGGTTTTAAAGATGGTGGCCCTGGCCGGGCGCGGTGGCTCACGCCTGTAATCCCAGCACTTTGGGAGGCCGAGGCGGGTGGATCACGAGGTCAAGAGATTGAGACCATCCTGGTCAACATGGTGAAACCCCCTCTCTACTAAAAATATAAAAATTCAGCTGGGCATGGTGGCGTGTGCCTGTAATCCCAGCTACTCAGGAGGCTGAGGCAGGAGAATCGCCTGAACCCAGGAGGCGGAGGTTGCGGTGAGCCGAGATCGCGCCATTGCACTCCAGCCTGGGTAATGAGCGAAACTCCGTCTCAAAAAAAAAAAAAAAAAAAGATGGTGGCCCTGGAGACAAGAAGGTGACGTTTGGGCAGCACCTGGGAGCAGGCGAGAGTAGGCAGGTACCTGGAGGAGGAGGAGTGTTCCAGGCTGAGGGCACAGCCCAGGCAAACGCCCTGGGGCCAGACCATGCCTTCGAGGAGCAGCCAGGAGACCCTTAGGGTTGGAGCAGAGGGAGCAGGGAGAGAGGGAGGAGGAGGAAGACAGGGAGGAGGGGGAGAGAGGGAGGAGGGGGAGGAGAGGAGGAGAGGGAGGGAGGAGGAGGGAGAGGGAGGAGGAGGGAGAGAGGGTGGAGAGGGAGAGAGGAGGAGGGAGAGAGGGAGGAGGGGGAGCGAGAGAGGAATCTCCCACATATACAAAGCGGAGAGGGGAGGTCTGCAGGGCCATGTGGGCTGCCGGGAGGACTCAGGCTTTGATGTCGAGGGAGGCAGGAGTCTTCGAGGCTGTGGCGAGGAGGGATGGTACCTGACCCAGGTGTTCACAGACACCCTCTGGTGGCTGCTTGGAGGACAGACCATGAGTGGCACTGTGGGTCTGGGGCAGAGGCCACAGGGCTGGTCCAGGGTTCCTGGAGGGTGAGCAGTGGCTGGGCTCTGTGCTCCTGAAGGTGCAGCCCGCAGGGTTTGTGACTGGAGGGTGAGAGGAGGCAGGGCGGCCCTGGCATTTCTGGTCCGAGCTGTGGGTAGCTCTGGGGCTGGGAACCCCGTAAGGAAGGGGACAAAGGAACGGGTTCGGGGCAGATCTGCCTGGGCCTGGGGATGGTCAGCATCTGACAACCGTGAGACGCCCAGGAGGAGGCGGGGTCGCTGTGGGCCCTTTCCCAGCCCCGTCCCTCCACCACACCAGGAATCTCTCCTACCTTCCGAAACTCAGCGTTTCCAGGGCCTTGATTTTTATCATTGCAGCAGGTCTGCCCCAGGGGACACCGGGTGATGCCTGGGGACATCTGCGGTTGTCAGGGCTGGGGGTGCTCCCAGCACGGAGTGGGTGCGGGCCAGCAATGCTGCTCAGCGCCCAGGACGGCCCCACCCCAGAGAAGGGTCCGGGCTCACAGGTCGGCGGTGCCCAGGAGAATCCCACCCCAGAGAAGGGTCTGGGCTCACGGGTCGGCAGTGCCCAGGACGACCTCTCCCCAGAGAAGGGTCCAGGCTCGGAGGTTGGCAGTGCCCATGACGGCCCTGGGCTTAGTCTTATACCCACAGGTTCTCGTTTCCTTCCCGTCCTTCATGTGCTGAGGCTTGGGCTGGTCCTGGTGGCTGACGCTGGCCGATTGCACCAGAGTTCACTGGTGGGGGGGCAGGCGCATTTCTGAGGCTCCCCCTCAGGGTGTGGGGGTCTTGGGGCATGGGAGCTGGTTTGCTCCATGTGAGCCCCGACTCTGAGTCCTGGACTCCCCAAGCCCTGGATTTGGAGATGGCCCAGGCCTTTGCTTGCTGAACGCAGAGTGGCTGCTTTCTTTTGGGGCAGCTGTGTGCCTTGAAGCCACGAAAGCTTTCACTGTTACTGAAGTTCACGAACGCAGTGTCCGACTGGCGTGTTTTTTACACCTTGGTTTGCTGGCTCACGTTGCATGTGGGGCACGTGTGTGGTGTGAGCGAGGGGTTCCCATTGTGAGCACACTGTTGTCCGCAACCTGAGTGTGGGGCACTAGAACATGCCAACATTATGCTTTCCTGCTGACCTGCTGATCAAGGGCGTGATACACGTGCTGTCAACTCGGAGGACAGGCTCATGAATAGTTTTCCAAAACAGCTATACCAGCTTCTCCATCAGGCAAGATTTTGAATGTTCAGGCCTCTCCACTTTGCCCGCTGAGTGGGTAGGAAAGGGTAGTGCATTGCAGCCCTCGTTTGCATTTCCTTAATTTCCTGATGCGCTGAAGTGGACTTCCACGTGTTCTGGCCACGTGGTTCCCCTCTTGACGAGATGCCTGTTTGGATACCTTGCTTATTTTTCTACTGAGGTACTTTATTTCTGTCCTTTTTCATTGATTTGTCAGAGTTCTTTGTATATGTGGGAGATCGCCCCCTTGCTGGCTACGTCTGTGGTGGATGTCTTGTCTTCTGTGGCAGAAGGAAGACACCTTTCCTGGTGTCTTTGCTGATCAGAACTCTCAGTTTTCATGTAGTTGAGCTTATTGATTTTGGGTTTTTATTTTTTACTTATTTTATTTAGGGTTTTTCTGAGACGGGGTCTCACCCTCTCACACAGAGTGCAGGGGTGTGATCACAGCTCACTGTAGCCTTGATCCATGGCCTCAAATGATCCTCCCACCTCAGCCTCCCAAAGTGCTGGGATTACAGGCCTGAATCAGTCACTGTGTCTGTCCTGTGTTCTTTTAAAAACAGTTCTTGGGGTATATGCTTGGACAGCACATGTACTAAAATGAGATGATCAATTAGCATAGCATTTGCACAAAGATGACATGAAAATTCCTGAAGTGTTCCTTTGTTTTTTTTTTTTTTTTTTTGAGACAGAGTCTCACTCTGTTGCCCAGGCTAGAGCTCAGTGACGCAACGTCGGCTCACTGCAACCTTCGCCTCCTGGGTTCAAGCAGTTCTCCTGCCTCAGCCTACCGAGTATCCTGGATTACAGGCGTGAGCCACCATGCCCAGCTAATTTTTTTGTATTTTTAGTAGAGACAGGGTTTCACCGTGTTGGCCAGGATGGTCTTGATCTCCCGACCTTGTGATCTGCCTGCCTTGGCCTCCCAAAGTGCTGGGATTACAGGCATGAGCCACTGCACCTGGCTGTGTTCCATATTTTTAAGTCAGTGATTTAAACAGTCTTCTTCCCCAGAAAAGAGTTCTTTTTTTTTTTTGAGACGGAGTTTCACTCATGTTACCCAGGCTGGAGTGCAATGGCATGATCTCGGCTCACCGCAACCTCCGCCTCCTGGGTTCAGGCAATTCTCCTGCCTCAGCCTCCTGAGTAGCTGGGATTACAGGCACGCACCACCATGCCCAGCTAATTTTTTTTGTATTTTTAGTAGAGACGGGGTTTCACCATGTTGACCAGGATGGTCTTGATCTCTTGACCTCGTGATCCACCCGCCTCGGCCTCCCAAAGTGCTGGGATTACAGGCTTGAGCCACCGCGCCCGGCCAGAAAAGAGTTCTTTTAGTATTTTAATAGGTTCCTGCCCGAGTTGCCACAGAATTTCTGCACTTTTTTCCAAAGATGGTACAGCTCTTTCCCTTTTACCTTCTGATCCTTAGTTTGTCTGGTATTGGTAAGGACACTAGGTGTGAGGTAGGGATCCAGTTCTGTTTGTTGGTTTTTTGTTTCTATTTTTGGCAAAGACCTGGTTTTTCCAGGAGGGCCCAAGCCCCTCACCACAGGAGGACAAAGAGATGTGTCAGGTGGCCCTGGAGACCGATATCAGCCCCTGACCCCTGGCCTGTTGCAGGGCTAGGGCGAGCAGGTGCCACAGCAGCTGCCGCCGGCGAAATCAAGCGGGAGGAGAAGGAGGACGAGGAGAATACCTTGGCAGCTGACCACTCGGAGGAGGAGAAGAAGGAGCTGAAGGCCCCCCGTGCCCGGACCAGGTGCCAGCCCCCACCTCGACCCTTCCCACCCCCAGCCCGTCAGGACGCACACGCACACAGGCCACACGCACACTGCACCCACACCGGGAGGCCATCGGCGGGCCCCACGCCCGTCCCCCAACCTCACTGTCTCCCTCTGGCCCCCTCCCGGCGCCCTCCCCCGTAGCCCAGACGAGGACGAGGACGACCTTCTCCCCCCAGAGCAGAAGGCCGAGCGGGAGAAGGAGCGCCGGGTGGCCAATAATGCCCGGGAGCGGCTGCGGGTCCGTGACATCAACGAGGCCTTTAAGGAGCTGGGGCGCATGTGCCAGCTGCACCTCAACAGCGAGAAGCCCCAGACCAAACTGCTCATCCTGCACCAGGCCGTCTCGGTCATCCTGAACTTGGAGCAGCAAGTGCGAGGTCAGTGGGGGCGCGGGCCACCAGCGTCCCCGCAGTGCCACCCTCCCTCGTGTTCCTGCCCTCGCTCTCCTTCCCCACCTGCCTTCCCTCTGCAGCAGCAGCCCCTTGCAGTGACTGTGCCCCTCACTCACCCTGACCTCACTGCAGTGACTGCTCCCTCCTGACTGCCCGCCCTCCTGTTTGCTGGCGTCAGCATCCCCTCTGCAGTGGGAGGACTGGACTGTTTCCGGACCTCTAAGCCCGCAGGCCAGGGCTCCATGGCTTGGAACTGCACCCCCACCCCAGGGGCTCCCACCTGCCCTGTTCCCCTTCCTGGGAAGCCCAGAGCCTGGCTCACAGGGGCCGGTGTCCCCACAGCCCAGAGACAGGAGCTGGTGTGCAAACCACCCTGGCTCCTTCCCCTCAAGCAGATGCCACCCAGGGCCACATGAGCCTGTCCCCTCCCTCCGACTCACTTTCCCAGTCTGCGGGTGGGTGTTCATCACCCCCATTTCCCAGGGCCGGGGGATGAAGGATCGAGACAGACCTGCCCCGCCCCCAGATGTGAGCTGACTCCCTCCCCTGCTGGCGGCTGCTTCCTTACCTCCTTCCTGTCTTCGCCTGCACCTCGTTAACCCTTTCTCTCCTGCAGCACTGTTGCTGGGACTGGAGCCAGAGCCCTGGCCCGGCCAACCCGCTGTCCCCTCCGCTCTAAGGTTTCCGAGTTTGCAGCCGTGTGTGTGGCCCACCTCTGCTGTCTGCCCTCCGCTCCCCCCTCCACCCCGCCTGCCCGTCCCTCTGCTTCCTGTGGCAGCCCCTCCTCACCTCGCACTTGCTGCCCGAGCACAGGAGCGGCCGGGCTGCAGCCTCAGGGCCTTTCCTCCCCCAAAGCCCCCATCAGGGCTTGCGGGAAGAAACCGACCCGGGACGCACGCAGCCCCCGGCCCTCACTGTCAGTTTGGTCTGTGCGCTTGTCCTGGGCTCCAGGGGCCGTCCCCGCCACCTGGAGGGATCCCCTCAGGCCACAAAGGCAGGCTGGGCAGGCAGGTGGGTGAGGCAGCCCCCCAGGGAAGGGCAGGGCACCAGGCATGCCGGGCACCAGGACAGGCCTTCACCCATTTCATCACCACAGCCCAGAGCAGTGGGTGCCCTGATGGGGACCGGCATCCATTCTACCGAATAGGCGCCGGGGAACAGAGCGAGGTTACCTGTGCAGGGCCACGCAGTACGTAGGCCTGGCCCGAGACCTGTCCCTGAAGCAGCTCGCCGGCTCCATGCGGCTCGGGGTAGGAGGCTCGGCCCTGGGCCTGGCACAGAGCAGGCACTGGGAACCTGAGAGCTGCCACTGCGACCATCCACGGTGGCGGTGATGACAGGGGTCCCGGGGCCCTAGGGAGCCAGCGCTCCCAGCCAGGGCAGGTGCCACAGGTGGGGCTCACCTTGGGGCAGCCAGAGTTCACTTTGGGGGGGGTATGGGGGTCTCGGGATGGGAGCTGGTTTGCTCCATGTGATCCTGACTCTCGAGTCCTGGACTCCTCATGCCCGGGTTTTGGGGGTGGCCCAGGCCTTTGCCTGGTCAGCCTGTGTCTTCAAGGACTCCTCTGTCCACAGTGGGTCTGGCCAGGCCTAGCTGTCCATCACCCCGCAAGCTGCTGCTCAGAGAGGGAAGGTCATGATCTTGAGAAGGATGAATAGAGAGGAGTATGCACTGGGCGCCCCCTGCAGCCCAGCCCTGCCCGGGGCCCACAGAGCGAACAGGGTCAAGGGAGAACCAGCTACCCTGCCAGTTCTCAGATGCAGAAGCAGGGCCCCTGCCTCCCTCCACACAAACGTCCTGGGAGCAGTCAGACCTTGGTCCTTCTTGGGTGTGACCACATCCATAGCCTCTCCTACAGCTGAGGGCACGTGCACCGGGCCAGCCACTCACACACACACAGGCTCTGCTGCTTTCCAGGGAGCACATCCCCTGCGCACAGAGGAGCACATTTTCATGGATGTGAAGCAGGTGCATCACCATGTGCACCCGCGCCGCTGCCCACACCAACACCGTCCGTGCTCCCAAATTACTGCCCACACCAGCACCGTCAGTGCACCCAAATTACTGCCCACACCAGCACCGTCCGTGTTCCCAAATTGCTGCCCACACTGGCACCGTCTGTGTACCCGCACTGCTGCCCACACCTACACCAGCCGTGTACCCAAATTACTGCCCACACCGGCACCGTCCGTGCACCCAAATTACTGCCCACA